GGGGGGGGGGGGGGGGTAGGAAGGCAGTGCTGCTGACATCTGCACAAAGGGCTGGAACTTAAGTGTAATTTTAAGTCACTGCATCCCAGGGCGATTTCAAAATCCCAGTGCAAAGGCTTTATCTTCTAGATTGAGTTTTCGAACACATTCAACTCCTGAGAAAGTTCTCTGCATAGAAAGGGTTGTACTTTGGACCCAATCTCTCAGTAGTACCAGAAGTTTGTGAAAAGGCCAGGCCGGAGGCTGGTTATGAAGGCAGGGGGGTGCACAGAGCTCGTTTTTAGTGTCAGGATCAGCTATTACCAAGTACACGGTCAATAATAATGCAAGTTGGCAAAATAAAAACAGAGGAAAACCTGGGGGTGGCGGGCATGCCCTTCCCCCCACCTCTCCTTTCTTTTTTCAGTTTTGCTCAACTCAGCTTCAGTTAAGCCAGCAGACCCAACTTCCTTTGCAAAAGAAAAGAAGTCCTCCCAGCATAGTCTGTTGGGGTATGAGGCAACTAAGAAATTAATTTTGAAATCTAGTAGCACTGTTTAAAAATTTTTTTTTTTTTTTTTTTTTTTAAATTTTTTTCAACGTTTATTTATTTTTGCGACAGAGAGAGACAGAGCATGAACGGGGGAGGGGCAGAGAGAGAGGGAGACACAGAATCGGAAACAGGCTCCAGGCTCTGAGCCATCAGCCCAGAGCCTGACGCGGGGCTCGAACTCACGGACCGCGAGATCGTGACCTGGCTGAAGTCGGACGCTTAACCGACTGCGCCACCCAGGCGCCCCAAAATTTTTTTTAATGTTTACATATTTTGAGAAAGGGGGGGGGAGTGAGAGTGAGGGAGGGGGAGGGGGAGAGGGAGAGGAGGATCCCAAGCAGGCTCTGTGCCATCAGCGTGAGCCTGATATGGGGCATGAACTGTGAGATCCCGACCTGAGCTGAGATCAAGCGTTAGGTGCTTCACCGACTGAGCCACCCAGGGGCCCCTAGTAGTACCTTTTATTCAGGCATTTTGAAATTTGATTCATGGGGGGCGCCTGGCTGGCTCAATTGGTTGAGTGTCAAACTCCTGCTTTCGGCTCAGGTCATGATCCTAGGGCCATGGATGGAGCTCCGTACTGGGCACGGAGCCCACTTAAGGTGCTCTCCCTCTCTCTTCCCCCTCCCCCCACCCCCCCATTCCCTGGCACGCTCTCTCCCTCTCAAAAATAAAAATTATATTTGAAATTTGAATCATCAAAGCATTAGACACACTTTTCTTGCTCTCAAAAAAATAAGTATTTGAAATATGAATCATCAAAGGCATTAGACACACTTTCCTCAAGTGGAACAGCTCAGCTACTCACAGGCCATTGTGTGGTAAATGCTGGGCCAGTACTGACCGCTGTCTCTTTTCAGCCATACTCGAATGGTTCTGCGGAGAAAAGAACGAAAGAGTACTTTTTAGTAATTTTATCTTCTTTTGTGCTCCAGGGAAATGTAACTATTTATTTTATTTTCAGTAGTATTTCCCAAATGACCTCATAAGGTTAATCAGGTGGACAAACTAGAGAAATACGCCAGGACCCACAAGTACAGCACATAGTACATTATATGTAGTCCATACACTATTCACACACACACACACACACACACACACGTGATCTACAGTTACATATATATGACCACATATGGCAAGTTATGTAGTAGCTCAGAGCCAGGATTTCAAGTGAGTTTAATAATACATAAAATCTCATTATATGAGGATACACCAAGAAAACGGGAGAACTATTCACTGCTTTTCTTAGTAAAAAACAAACTGTGCAAATTTGGTTGCTTGCCATCTGGGCCAAATGAGGACAGCAGAAGATACAGACGGAACGACAATGCTTCTGGAGAAGCGGGACAGATGCGCATGGGAAGCAGAGCCCACAGCAGTGCTCATTTCTGATAAGTCCCAGCCTTCCTGCCCCCGGGGGGAAATCACCCCACGCCAGGTCTCTGGGCCTCTCCTTTCATCAGAACACACACAGGGAGATGAGGAAATCCTGTACACAGGCAGGAAAATGACAAATGACCAGAATAGCCAAAGACTGGTATTTTGGCTCATGTCAGAAGAACAATAAGGAACACTAAGACCCTTCCTCCTCCACTCACAGAACCTCCTCCAAGCTCCAGGCCTCTTCCTCTTCAGAACCCCTGGGACACTCGTGCCTCCTCCCGCACTGGCACGCTCTGCCTCTGCAGTGAGTCCCAGCCATCCCACTGTCCCTTCCTGTGAGCTCTGTCCCAATCCCTCTCCTATGTCTAACAGCAGCACCGACTCTGGCACGCAGCTGGCGCTCATTAAATGTTTTCACCTTAAACTAAAATACAGAAGGCTAAATGTTGACTCAACAGGTCACCATCTTGTTTGAAGTTCAAGGCAAGTATGACTGGTCTATGAGGATAAAAATCAGAACAGTGTTGCTTCTTGGGGAGGAAGATAGAATGTAAAGGGACACACAGGATGGCAGGGCTCTGGGGAGTTGGTTACATGAGTGCATGAATTTGTCAGGACTTGTCCAGCTGCAATGAAGATCTGTACAGATTCCTGCGTGTGATTAGATCACAATAAAGGAAGACTTAGACGTTGACCTTCACTCATCCAAATAAGTAAGATGACCCAGTAGCACAGTGGGCAAATTACTACTTTGTAGAAGAACTGAACACAGGCCTCGGGGTAGGAACAGCCATGTGTACAACATGCCCTGTCTTCCGGCCACTGCCAACTGGTCACAATGGAACCTCTGCCAACCTTCTCCACATCCCGCCCCTGATCACAACTGGCTAGACCAGAAATGGGCGTCTGACCCTAGCTGAACCAATCAGCTCCTCCCTTGGGAAATCAGAAACAAGGAGCGAGAAAAACAGATCAGTGTCTCCAGTAGTTGAAATGGCTGTTTCCGGTCATATGTTTTGCGATTTGGATTGCAGAGTATATGAAGTCAACTTATTAAAAGGAGAAACGAGCTGCAGACGGTCCAGGTGAGAGTCCCTCATGCCCAAAGCAGAGCTATTTCCCAAGACTGGGGTTTTGCGAGGCAGACACCCCAGCATCCTCACCAGAAACACCCTCATCAAGCAGCCTAAGTCAGTCTGACTTATTTCTGTTGTTTGCAATCAAGCAAGTACCATATACCGTGTCTGAAGAGACACCAAGAAGAATATCAAACACCGTCTGTTCAGCTGAGCGCCATTAAATGAGGTTCACAAGGCAAGATAACCAGGCAGACTTTCTTCTGAGGTACCTGTATTGTGAAAAGAAGTTCTAAAGCGTCCAAGTTCACATCCAAAATTAAAAGAGAGGGGAGAACAGACTAAAGCATGTAGAAACAGACCTTTAATTTTTACAGTTTGTAATTCCACATCTTAAACCAAAATTTAACACTCTTCAAGGTAACATTTAGACTTCTCTGTTATGGGGTCCTTGGTTGCTGTTCATGATTACCCGACCTTCTTCTTTCCCAAACCTCAGAAGTTAAAAATTTTTCATAATACAGACCTTTGTAGTTTGGAGCCATTTAAATCAAGTTATGAAAAATGGCTAGTGGCATAGAAAGTGTTCACATTATAATGTTAAGTGAAAGCCCTCTACAAAACCAATAACGGCAGTATGATACCAATTTTGTTGGAAGATACCATCTGATCAAACCTCTAGATTCAACTACCAATTTACAGGAAATACAGAGGAACATAAACACCACCCCACGGGTGCATTCAGCAAAACTCAAGACCACAGGCAAGGCTACAGACAGTGACCCAGTTCCTTCTACAAATAATTTGCATGGGGAAAAAAATAGAGATAGAGGATCAGACTATAATTAAAGAGGTTTTAAGAGATATATCTAGCAATCCCAATGCATAGACCTATCTGGATCCTCGCTCAAACAAACTGTTAAACACACGTGTATCGTCATGAAACTGAAAATCTGAACACTGACTAGATATTTGACGGTATTAAAATACCGTTCATTTCTTTAGGTGTAATAATGGTGTTGCAGATTTTTGCTTATTTGTTTTTTTTAAGAAGTAAGCAGTGATTCCAAAATGTGATGCTGGCCCTTGCTCTCTGTTATCGGTACACCCACCACAGTCTGGCTCCGTCAGCTCCTCTCATCACCTGGTGGGTTCTTCCCTCCGACACGGTGGGCCCGCCCCGGGGCAGGTGGACCAGCGGCTGCAACTCCCAAGGAACCACGCATTCCGTTGCCCGTGCTGAGAGCCCACCAGCAGTCGGCGGTCTCAAATCAGGGGTCCGTGTGACACTTAGTGCCTATGACTTCCCAACCCAGACCTCTATCCCAACGAGCTGCCGTCCTCAAGGGCCCCAAGTACCCCGAGCTCCAGTTAGGCCCTCAGCCCTCCACCCTCGCCACTCTACCAAGAACTTCCCTCTCCAGATAGTTTATCTGGGCATACCGCAGCACGGGTGCCATCTCAGCATGACACAGCCTGTCACTCGCTACAGAAGGCTTTACGGATACATTTCATTACTTACGTTCAACATGAGGGATGAAGCCAAAGGAGCTGTAAGAAGTTAAAGGCCAACTCCTTGAGAAGCCTTAAATCTACCCCAGGGTCCTACTCCAGTTCCAAAGACAGGATAGGAAAAGGCAAGGCACCGGGAGATCAGAGCGTCGCACAGCGCCCCGTCAAGTTCACCGGCCTTCATTCATGCGGATCACAAAGGGGTTAAACCTGCCAGGTTTTTTTAAGGGCCTAAAGAAGAACAGAGTACAGACACATTCTAAAACCCTTCAAATCAACTCCAAAAGTTGTGGGTCATGGACACACTGGCATCTCAAAGAAGGAAGGACTCAGTGCCACAGGCTCTTCCTTGGGTCCTCTCGTGAGAAGAGCGATACTCAAAGGCAGAAAAGGCGGCCGGAGAAGGGGAAACCCTAAAGGTTGTCTCTTCCAGCCAATCATCTAACCTGGAAAGGTCTAATTTTAAGTCTGCAAAGCTCAGAATGATATTCAAAACAGCCCAAGGTCAAAATGGAACCTACCTAGACACCGGCATTTTGTGAAACGCAGTATCATTTCCCTTGGAGGACAAACGTTAGTACTGTACTTTGGCTTGCACCCAGCTGACACAATGGGAAACTGGCAAGACTTAAATGATCTCATGGGATGTTTCGGTTGAAAATCGATCTTATCCGGGCTGCGAGAAGCCCATCCTTTCTTGGGAATCAAGTTCCAAAATCGGCACTTGACCTTGACAAGGTCTCTTTGTAGTCACACCTTCTCTCTGGAACCCTGCCTCTTCTCTTTTCAAGCCAATCTCTTTCCCTTCCTTCCACAACAACGCTAAAATCTCTCACTTCCAAGATGAAATCAAGACAATGCTAGGTTTAACCCCTAACACTCCCACACTCCCAAGAACCTATGCATTAAACAAAGTTGTATAATTTCTACTAAATAATATAGGAATGTGTTTTGTATGGTGTTTAGAATAGGTCTCATTTGGTTTAAAGAATGACTGCAAAAACAGGCTTAAGTTGGGCTGTTTATTTAAAAAGTCAACAAATGGGGCACGTGGGTGTCTCAGTCGGTTGAGCGTCCGACTTCAGCTCAGGTCACGATCTCACAGCCCTTGGGTTCAAGCCCCGTGTCGGGCTCTGCGCTGACAGCTCAGAACCTGGAGCCTGCTTCGGATTCTGTGTGTCCCTCTCTCTCTGCCCCTCCCCCACTCGTACTCTGCCCCCCTCTCTCTCAAAAGTAAATAAAACATTAAAAAAAAATTTAGGGGCGCCTGGGTGGCTCAGTCGGTTGGGTGTCCGACTTCAGCTTGGGTCATGATCTCACAGTCTGTGAGTTCGAGCCCCGCATCGGGCTCTGTGCAGACAGCTCAGAGCCTAGAGCCTGCTTCAGATTCTCTGTCTCCCTCTCTCTCCGCCCTTCCCCTGCTCATGCTCTGTCTCTCTCTGTCTCAAAAATAAATAAAAATATTAAAAAAAAATTTTTTAATTAAAAAAAAGTCAACAAATTCCACAGGCCGAGAACATTTACTATTAAATAAATTGGAGGTAAAATCTATTCAATAAGTTCTAAGCAACACAATACAGTTTGTGACATTTATAGGAGAAAACTATTAAAAACTCCAGGATGTTATTAAGAGACCATATAATCACAGAGTATCAAGATCAGATGGTTTTATTTCTACAAAACCACAATATTGCCTGCCTAGACGAATGTCTAAGCTGCTTTCTCTACTGAGTTAAGATACAACAGCTTAACTTTTCCTTTAATATTTTGACAAGTTTACACCCACGCACCTCAACTCATTTTCTGTTTTGCTTGCTGCTTATTCTAGCCATTTTTCTAGAGGACGGATTTTCTTTGAGATTCCAAGACCATGTCAATCTGAAAAAAAAAAAAAGTCTTTCCTTA